CATCCCTCCAGGTCAAAAATGACCCATCCTCCACCACTCTCTGGGTGGGACCATCAAGCCAATTTGTCACCTATCTGACTGTAGGCATCAATGCTGCAGTCACCTAGTTTTTTTATGAGCATGGCATAATAAGTGATGTTATGTAATATTAGGCACAATTGATTTGGGTCAAACTGGCTTATGAAACTACTGTCTGAGACCCCTTCCTGGTTAAATCACAGTCTCTCAGCATCCTAGCATGTTTTCCAGCCTGGGCTGGCCTGTTCTGTCTGCTCCAACAGAGAACGGTTGGGGGGAGTAGGCAGGGACTGCCCATCCCAGGCAAACCCCGGCTGGGGTCTCAGCCCAGGGAGGGGGGTTAAACAAAGCTGCCCTGCCCTGCTTAACTTACTGCTGGCTGCAACTGTGAACTACAAATCCCAGAGGCACCTGGAAACAAGAAGAGAAAATGATAAGCAACCCTGCAGAGCCCTGCTGCTGTGATTCTGGACTCCAAATCCCAGGGACCTTGAGAGCAGCAGGAAGAAGAAGCGAACACACATCCCATGCTGGCTACGTGCCAGAGAGCTGTGTTCTGGCACCCCTCAGCTTCTGTCCTTAGCCTCTGCAGGCATGTGGCTGCATTTCCTGAATCAAAAGTGAATGTCTGTCCAATTGTTTCTCAGTTCAATGTCTGCAATTTAGACTAACTTGCAAAGACTGAATCGATTCAGCTTCAGGCTTTTTGAGTGTCTGTACTTAGCCTTGGTAGTCATCCATAGTTCACAGGATAATTTTCTTAGCTTAGTTACACCAAGGTAGTGACTCCTAATCAACAGGGGACAGCTCCTGTCCATAGTTAATGCTAACTGGAAGTCCAAGGAAGATTAGTTAGGACAACTTTCCAACACAAAATGGAGGTGATCCCACAGGGAAGTGAGAGTGAGGAGGTTTCCAAAACCCATCCAGAAATTTTGAAACATTCTGCTATTGCTCTTCAAAAAATTTAAATCATCATTAAACTTGCATAAGGTAAACATTATCTTTTTTCTTTAAAGGATTTACCATCTCCTCTTTTGTTTGCTGTTCCTTAATTATCTTCTTTCAAATCTTATTATTCACTATTCCTTCCATTATTTTTTCTCTCTGCTATTTGGCCATTGTGTTCCCCACACTTTCCTTATCATTAACTTAATCTTCTATTCTTATTCCCCTTCTCTGCCTTCTTCTTCTCCCCTTATTATCTTACTCTCTTCCATTTCTTTCCCTGCTTGATCTTCTCTCTCCCTCTCACTCTCTTGCTCATTGTTCTGCTGATCAGGAAGATTCTGCTCTCTCTCCTTTTCTTTTTAATATTAGAGGTAATGGTTGCATTTCAGAATCTTTAGTGGGTATCATCCTGGTTTTGCAGATGTTAGATAACCAGTGCAAGGGTGCTGACAGGACTGTGGTAATTTCAGTGAGTTGCGAGAGACCCTTGTTCAAGGGAAAGCTCCCCAAAATTATGTGGCCCAACCTGGTTCCCCTCCCCCAACCCCAAGGAATCAACTTTGTTTTAGATTGCAATTTATCTCCAACACAACCCTGCTGATTGTGAAAAATTTACATAGGAATACTGAATCATAATGCTGAGGTTACAAAGGTGTGATAACTGCTCAAAGAACCAACACACAGATCATTTCAATGCTCCTTCTCTATTTTCTTTGTCCAGTAGTAAAAGTCACTCTCTCTCAGGTTATACTCTCCATGCAGGCCTGGAGATGGTCAGACACACATATGCTGGTGGCGTTTCCTAGTAGAAAATAGCAATGTTCCACTGCCCTTCATGAATGGCTTACACAAATCCTCTTATTCATAATAACCATAAAAGAACAAAAGACATTAAAGTTAAGCTAGTCTTGCCTTTGCTGCTTGTGGGTATCCTAGTGCACAAAAAGGCCTGAATACACAGGGACGATGCCTGGAGAATTTTTAATGTTAACATAAATCATAATTAATAACTATAAGGCCAAGCTGTCCAAAACTAGCAAAGAGTCACTGAGAGCAGAGAGAACAAAACACATTAAGAGTTCTCAGGAAAAGTCTTTTTCTTTTAAATATGACTAGTAAAAAAAAGGGTGTGAAATAGTCTAGAAGTAGTCTTCTTTTTATTAATATTTTATATTCCACAAGCACCTTGCCAGATTTCTCCCAGTCATTCCAGTAAATTTCTACCCTGCCATAAAACCACTCCTCTGAAAGTTCAGGTGGATTAGAACATTACCTTTGACACAAGTGTAATAATAAATGAACTTACAATGAGTAACTACAGGCACTTCAGTATTAACTGAGACCAAAGTCACTGTATAATGCACCCCAATCATAAATACCAAGAACAAGGCAGAAACCCCAATCTGTTGGAGCATTCAAATTAATATGGCATATGCATTTTGTTATCAATATCAGCTTCTCCTGAAACAGTAGCCAGTTTGAGTTCCAAATACAAGATGACAACCTTTTTTCCTTAGTTTGTGAGTGGGTAAGATTATAGGAATAAGTTGCCAGCATCCCTCTAGTTTCAGCAGCCAGAAGAGCATAGGAAATGAACACATGTAATCACTGCAACAAGAGATCAAATACCACATCATAAATGTATTCATGGTCAGATTTAGCCTTGGAAATAAACCCTAAAAACTGTGAAGGGACACAAGCAAAATACTTATAAGAGAATATTAACCACATTCTACTAGTTCCATCTACAAGCACTGCAGCAAGTTATGAACAATATTAAATTGCATAGTCTAGCTTGTTTCCTTCCCTCTGCCTGCCTCAGAAGAGTGATTTTAAAGTAAGCGAAACTCAACATGATCTTTGAATAATCTCTTCTCTTCTACTTGATCTATTCTCATCATGTATTTGGCATTTTGTCTCAAGTGTGCATTCCATAGACATTTTGTATTGGTAGGGCTAAGTGATCCTCAATGGTTCACAACCATTTTTCCTAATACTAGTATTGCTGTTCTAGGATATTGTGGCTGATACTTAAAACTCCATCTAGGGGTGGCCAAAAACCAAGAAAAGTATTTCACAAAAAGCCACCTGAAATTTTGATATTTGGTTTCGTTCTGATTCAGAATGAAAAACTAGGCCAATATAAAATTCACTTCTGAAAAGACAAACCCACAATACCCAAAAGCCCATTGATTACAGCACTCACCTGGGACACAAGAATTCCTGATTTAGGTCCCCCACTGTTATTCAGAGGAATCTGACTTTTACAACAAAAAATCATTTCATTAAAAAAAAAAATCCTGATCAGCTTTAGGTCTAACCCTTCTTTCAGAATGCTGAAAGTATCCCTAACTTCATCAGTGTCAACGGCAACTGAAGACATGTGGCCCTACATGCTGGGCACTGGCACATCCCCATGTCAGTTAAGTTCTCTCTGAACTCTATTCAAATATTAAACCACTTCAAACCCATTTGCAATGTTAGGAACAATTCAACCATATCACCATTGTGAGTTAGAACAGAAATAACTGGAGGAGATATAGTTAGCACTGACTTGCAGCATGAAGTTCTTAATCTAGTGTACCTGTTACCTGAAAAAAAGTTAGAAAACTCCAGACTGGTATGTCCTCCTGCTTTTGTTCCACAGGACACATATTTCTCCCTAGATCATTTTTATCTCAGTTTCCCAGTGACCTGCTTCCTATTCCAACATCAGTTGGAAGCTGTCCTATTTTCTCCTCATATTAAAACTCTCTGCTACTGAAATCAGGTTTTTATTGTTCCAAATTAACTTAATTGATCCAGACCTTTAACACTTCTAACGCAGACGAGTACAACTGAAGTGAGTGGAACAACGATCATTCAGGCTAGATAGAGATCTGGCTTATCGTTTAAGGATTTTTGTTTGTTTCTGTTTTGTTTTGCTCTTCAATGCGTGCATCTACAAGTGAATATTAATGCAACACAATAAACTCTGGTGCGGTTCATGCCAGCGTTTACTGCTTTCAAGTGCCGTGTTTATATGTGTGGCCAGGACTGTGGCATGTTGAATCAGGGCAGCACAGCCCCAGGCAGCAAGAGGTCCTGGGGATCAGCCTGCCAGCCTGGGGCCGCTTTGACCCGCCTCAACATACTGTAGAGGGGCTGGCTGGGGCATAAGGGTACTTCAGTGCAACATTAGCTGGCAGGCAGCCCCTGTACTAAAGCACCATCATGCCCCAATCAGCCTAGTCAACACCTACATGTGTATTGCACGGAATAAATAACTCCACCACAGGATAGGACTCGTCTTTGGCAGTACTAACCTACAGCATAGTTAATTAGTTTATTCTAGCCTAATAGCTTAGCAGGTGTATACCAGTGATGCTTTACTGCAGAACAAATTAGGCAACTGTGCAGTCAGTGTCTTGTGTAGATGCACCCAATGAGAATGATTTCACCTCTTTTATATCTCATCACTTTGTCTTCTTATAGAACCACATTCTTTTATGTTTCCAAATTTTTGCAAACAGAAAAACATGTTAGCACTGCCATATACTATTTCTATTATATTTGTACAAATCATATGCCTTTTGAATTTCATAGGATTTCTGCCACAGATTTCAGCGGGACCAGGACTTAGACGTGTGTGTGTGTGTGTCTTACCCTTAGCCAAACCTACCACATCATAAAGTACTTAGGTTAATTTAGAGTGCACAGAATATGTAAGAAATATGGAATATGTGACATGCTATTTACATTAGTGTATTCCTTAAATTCTATCATCCAAGTCCATTCATTCTCAACCCTCATCATTATATTTGTTCTTTTCTACCCTCTCCCAATTCCTTCTGTAATTGTTTTTTTTATAGGAAAGTGACCAAATCTATAAATAGCTCTTCCCTGCTTTAGTTTAATTGGCACCACATCAAGAGGAAGTATTATCTCCCCAACAATATGGACAATCCTCTTTCCTTGCATTTCCATAGATTGCCTCTTCTTCTTGCTAAATAGCATTCCCAGGTTCAGTATAGACAAGGGTCAATACTCACTATGTGCAGCTGCAGAAAATCACCGAGCCCAGGAGCACTGTCAATTCGAACCAGGATGCCATCCTTCACAGTCGTGCTGAAGCCTACAGCAAGACGGTCTGTCCTTGTGCTTGGTCTGTCATTTGCTGGCCAGGTGTACAGGATGAGGCCTCCACTTTTTCCAAAGATATACGTGGCACCAGCTGCAAAAAAAGAGGGGGCATTAGTTCACTCGGGTTTTTGCCAGCTACGGTAGCATTGTTTTCGCTTCATAGAGGAATATATGAAACTGCAAGAATTTCATTAGCAAGTGATGAAATCCAAGGCCTACTAGGCTATTGTCACCCTAAGTTAAGATGTGAGCAAAATGAATTAACAACAGAGGAGATGTTATGGAAATAAACTCAGTCACTTCCAGGCCCTCACTAAGTAATAGCAGAGGACGGTCTCCAAAACCTTTACACATCATGACAGAAAACATTGGAAGCCTTCCTAACATTGGAATTTATTCCACATCTGATGCAAGACATTAGTAATTATAACACACTTCCTACTACATATCAGATTCAAAATACACCCACCCCCCTCCCATTAATCCAAAACTAACCTTTTGATAATAAATGATACAAAGAATAAAAGCAAACTCCACCTTTAAGTAAGCTCGTCATTCTCATGATCGTAGCTGACTGACAACACTTTGCAGAGACCCTTTTAAATGAACAGTTATGCTATTCCCAACATCCTTGTATATCTACTCAATAATAATAAGGGAACTGCAAATAGATAAATGGTGCTTCCTTGTAAGAAGGAATAAATCACAGAAGACAGGCCTACTACACATATCCTGCTACAGTGTGTTTTAGGTAATAGTACCCAAGTCAAAACAAGCAACATTTGCAGTGAAGACAGCTAGAGAGTTCATCGAGTACCTACGACTTCATTATTGCTAACATAAGCTTGGGCAACGCCAAGTACTGCACTACTTTAAAAGAAAAATGACAACACTAGTCTTGCTTTAGAAATGTGTAGATCACCCTCACTTGGGGATTCAAAATGAATGTTCTGTAAATTCCCTTGAGGCTAAGTTTGTCTCCAGCTGACTGCTATGCACAGTGGGCTACTCTCTTCTCTCACAATTTTCCAAGACATTGAGACATCTGGTCAGCATATTACCAGCACTATTTAATTTCATGAGTCTGAGAAGGCCCACTTGACTACCTTTTTAAAATAATGCCTAACTTGTATTGAACTGAGCCCCTCCCCCCAACCCCTACTCCCATCCCTATAAGGTGCCATTTGAATTCAACAGGACAAGCCACTTTTCACAAATGAGGAAGGTGTGGCAGTGCACCTTTAGGTGCCTGCCTCTTTAAGGGCTGGAGGCAGGTGGGCAGGCTAACTTGCAATCTAGCCCTGGAAAGGCTCCCTGTCACAGAAGGCAAGTGCTAATAGGATGTATTTTACATATTGGAGAATTGAGATTCCAAAAGTTGAGGAGTCAGATTCTGAGATGTGCTTAGCATACATAATCAGGACCTAAATTTAATATTAGCCACTGTGCTTCTTAGAAAATGTGGCCATAAGAGTAATAGTTTCATAGTTGTTACAGACTGGAAGGGACCTTACAGATCATTCAGTCCAGCCCCCTGCTGTTGGGCTGCTGGGATGATGGAAAATGCTTTCCCAAAAATCACACACTGCATCTCCGGGAAGATCAAGAATACCACAGGCAGGAACTGCAACTACTTATCTACTGAGCTACACTGATATCCACATAGGTAGAAACAATACTCCTTTCCAAAGAGTCACAGCAAACTACATATTCAGTGCCATCAACTGGTTTCCACCAACAGCTGCAGACATGAGATACCAATGAAAAACAGAGGAGGAATAAGTGTTGTATTTGCTTGATCAAATATCTTAGTGTTTGCCTGCATGAGACTAAAATTATTTTATCAGCAACAAATGAATCCCAAAATGGATCAAGCACAAATGCACACAGGTGCAGGTTGGATGAGTTGTTACTAAAAATGGGTCACATATAAGTTTGACTGCAAACACAAAAAACACTGAGGCTCTTGTTTATGAACAGTTTGCAAAGTAAATTATAATTATTAATATTTGTAAAAATGGCACACTTCACCTATTCACATGGCTTCTCATCTATAGATATCAAATGTGCATGGCAGGTGGTGGTAAGCATCGGTATTCCTACTCAACAAATAGAAAAACTGAGGCACAGGGAGGATTAGGATTAGTCACTTGCTGAAGGTTGATTCAGTGAGACAAACAGAACCCAAATCCAACTCCCAGGCCTCCCTATACCTACTGGATCATATTATAGGCAATTACAAAAAAAAAAAA